GATCCCTAGTTATTTAGTTTGCTTAATGCTTTATGATATCTAAATTAATTAGGATACTTTATATTTTATTGCTTTCTTAGAGTTATAGTTATATTAGAATTAGATCTAGTTGGTGCCTATATAAAGGGCCTTCCCCCATGTTATTTATAATCATTCAAGAATCAATAGAAATCAGAACTTTGTTCTTCCACTTTGCTTTAGTCTTTCACCAAAATACTATTGCAATTTTATTCGTTTCAATTGGAGCTGTTGTGGCTAGAGAAACACTATCGGCGATTCAAGGCGCGGGTTAGCGGCTTATCGGCAGCCGAAACACACGATCCTCATCACCGTGCACCAGCGCGCGTGCACCAGCAGCCCAGCAGCGTGCAACCCTCGGCCCAGCGTGCACGAGCCATGCCCTGCGAGTCCAGTTCGACCTAGACCAGATTAGACCCGACCGGACCAGAACCATTCTAGTCCAGCCTGACCCGAACCAGTCTAGCTCGGTCCAGAAGCCCCGTTTTGACCCAACAGCGAGTTCCGAGCAGTCTGATTCACCTACCGAAGGTCCGAGATGATACGATGAGTGTGATGAGTGATTGGAGCACCTTGATGACTTGATTAGAATCGAGAAAGGCCAAGTCCAGCTAGCCATTGGACTTTGGTATTCAGACGATCTCCATTAACGGAAATTAGAAACGTCTCAGAGTCGGATTTTTTTTAAACCGTACATCCTAATCCTAACTATAGATTCCATTGAGTTTATTCAATAGATTTGATTGTGCACATTGCCGACGTCCCTAATAGATCCCAACAACTGGTATCAGAGCCCATGCTGATTCGTCTTTGTACACTATTCGAATTGGACTTGCATGATATATGTCAATTAATTGTGTACAGATGCATCTGCAGAATAGATTAGAATTGCAAATAAGTGTTCTTGCATGCTTGAATCCGACTATTATGGCCCGCATGTATGTTTGTCTTTTAATTCATGTATGTCGTTTTATAAGTCTCGGACATGTCGAGGATTTTTTGGGTTGGTGAATGCTTGTAATAATTTATTCGCGCGGTGGGACACCGCATAGTTTAAATGCTTTACTAGATCATTCATGTACGACCCCTGCGTGGGCCATAGGATCAATGTATGTAATTCATATTATGTAATTGTTCGTTGGACCCGGTAAGCGCGGACATCTCTCGACGAGACGAGGTAGGCTACCCCGTGAACCCGTAGTTGATTGGATACATGGTACTGTGCAAATGCAGACATACTCGTAGGCAGCTTGCTGTCAGATACGAGCATTGTTAAGGTATTTGCAGATGGATACGCACGGACCAAGGTTAATAGAAGTATGGGCGACGACGGCAGTAGGCACACGCCAATGGAGGAGACCCGATGGCGATTTTCCCGATGACGACTTGTTCAAGACAAAAAGTGGGAGTCATGGTGAAAAAGAAAATTCCAAGTCCTTAATCGGAAGACCTAGTTCAACAAGGACAATACTGCGTTTCCCGAAATATTGGAGAATGATTAAATGGCGATAGTTGGATCTTAGTTCCTCGTTTATTATTGCCTATTAATCATGCATGTCTTTATGTGATTTAATTGCTCTATGTGCAAATTGAATTATTAGGAGCATGTTTAGAAAAATCCCTTTTAACTAAA